TTCCAGCAGCAGGTTGCCATGTTTCCAGCAGCAGGTTGCCATGTTTCCAGCAGCAGGTTGCCATGTTTCCAGCAGCAGGTTGCCATGTTTCCAGCAGCAGGTTGCCATGTTTCCAGCAGCCTTACCCTCGTGACGGCAGGTGCAGCCTCCTCAGCGCCTTGTAGGCCCTCAGGTCCCGGTGCAGCTCCACGAAGTGTTTCTCCTTCTTCTTCACCTCCCAGGTGAACTCTCCGTGTTTCAGCTCGATCCGGTACATGGCCGGCGTCGCCTGCAACAACATGGACCCGGTCAGTTCACCGCATTTCTGAAGCTGCTTCGGAAACTTGGCCAAACATTTCACCATCAATCTGCTCCTTAAGGGAAAACGACATGATTTAACACCGACTGAAACATTAAAGCAGCCAGAATGTTTTGGTTTACTGTTTGTAGATTAAATCATTTTTTCTTTGAAAATAATTTTATTAAAAATAACTTTTTCACGTTTCTAAGGCTCCATTGGGCTCTTCACTCACCCTGTGTGCCTCTTGCTGCTGGCACAGATTCCCCAAAGTGTGGCACGGGGGCCATTTGTGGCCCTTAGAATAATTCTGAGTGGCCCCCAAATGCAGTTCAATAATACAGCTACAAATCTGACCTTCAGTGGGAACTTTTCATCTTTTTAGGACGAGACGTTCAGTGACAAATTTAATTCTCCTTTAATAGAAAGTGTTTTCACCAAGAACTTTTATTTTGTTAGCTGTGTTTTCACACCAGCAACTTAAAGTCTTTTATTCTCATTTAACATTTATTCTCCTAAACTTGGTGAATGGATGTTTTGTGAAGAGTTTTCCTTTTTGTTGCTGGAAATAGACTAAAAGGTTTTATAGACCAATTAAACAAAAAAAAAAAAACTAAAAAGTTTGGAAACTATTTTATTAAGACAAAAAAGCTGCACAATAAAATTATTTTGCGTTTCAAGTGAGAAAAACAAAATGGCCCCTGAGGATTTTCAGATTTAGGATTCATGTTGCCAACAGTTCGGGCCCCTGAGTCCTCAGCAGTTATTAACAGTTATTAAAGCCAAAACATGTCATTTGTTGCAGAAGAAGTGAAAAGTGAAACGGGCACCTTGTTGACGCTCCTCTGGACGGTGTTGTTGAAGCGATCCTGATTCGACGTGTATCGCTCCACCTCCAAGATTTTGGCGGTGATGGGAGAGGAAAGGAAGACCATGGCGTCGGACTCCTTGAAACCCACCAGACTGTAAATCGCAGTGAAGGGCAACCGGTCGCCTGCGAGGACAACAGCCAGCGTGACAAACCGGCAGGAAACAGAAGGAAATGAACGCGAAGCGAAGGCGGCTACCGGCTTCCGTTGTGGGGAATTCGCCGTCGCCGACGTCGAGGTCTTTAGTGTCCAGCTGCTCCATGATGGAGGTCATGTCGCTGGCCACCAGGTGTAAGGTGCTAGAGGTCGGCTCGGACTGCCGCAGCATGGCTAACACTTCGTCTGGAGCCCAGGGCTCACCTGGAGAGACAGGTAACAGCAGAAGGGTTTGTTTCAGTCAACCAGAGAAAAACACCAAAACCTAAAAGCTCATTATAGTGAACCTGTGGAAGAGCAATCACTGTTAGCAGCTGAAATATACAAATATTTCAGCTAATATCCCGTCTAAAACACTTAGAGCCGAATATTTTAATGGTTTAAAAAAGTAACGATTATCTAGTTATTGATTAATCTGTCGATTCTTCCGATTAATCAGATAAAAAAAAATCTGTACATTCTGCTTGTTTCTAATTTAAGCCTTTTTTATACAATATTACAAATACATTAAACAAATAATTAAATTCATTTTTAAATAAGAAAGTAAACATTTTATTGCCTGAAACGCAACTGAACTCTTGATCATTTGTAATAAAATAAAATAAATCCTTCTACCATCAACATGTGAAAAGCTTTTCTGCTGGACTGAACATCAGTGCAGAGTAAGGCTGATCTGGGGATTATTTCTGGATTAACAGATTAATAACTAGACAGCAAAAGGAGATTTTTAAAGAACTGGAACCAGGTGAAACTGAAACTCCCACTAAAGGAGAATCTGACTGCACTGCATTCACATCAAATTAAAAATGTTGGTAAGAGAAATAAAAACACATTTAAAGTGGCACCTTGAGTCTGAAAACATGAATCTACAAACCAACCAGCAGAAAAAAACCAGTTCAATCCTGTTAGAAACCAAAACATTTAAACTTTGCTTAAACTACTTTATTCATAAAGCACTTTAAAAACAACGATAATCAACAAACATTAAAAATATGAAAAAACAAAAAGAAAAATCAAAACTAAATGAAACTTTTCAACAACTGAACCTCCAGATGGTCTGGATGAAACCGTGTTAAACGGCGACGACAGGCGCTTAAATTCTGCAACAAAAGTATGTTTCCATCTTTTTTTTCCAAAATCTCTCTCTTTTTTACTGTTAATTCAATGCCACATGCTGTTTTATTCTGTTTTTTAATTATGTAAAGCACCTTGAAATGCCTTTCTGCTGAAATGTGCAATACAGATAAAATTTGATTGATGTGAAACAGGGTGAATGGAAATCTGCTGCTGATCAGCAGAGGATCAGTTTATGATTTTCAACATGAAAATCTAATTAAAAGGATAAAGTTGTAGTTTTTAAATATTGTCCGACTTGTTTAAAGAGTAATTTATCTGCTAATATCTGCTGAGCTGCTGTTTTCTCTCCGTTTGTGTTTCTGGGTCAGTTTCAGTGAAAATCCCTCGACTCGATCCTCTTCATTCATGACTGAGCTCAGCCGCCGTTTGACCCGGTTTCTTCTTCCTCCATAAAACTCCCACGTGTTCCTACAGGAATACGCTCAGACATGAATCCGTGTTTCGCTGCTAATCCTGGATGTCTGGATTAGCGTCGCATCGGATCCGATCCGAGGAGGAAACACGGCAGCAGAGAGAAACGGCTGAAAACCAGAACATCTTCAAGAATAAACCTGTAACATCATTTTGGTTTCCAACAGCTGCCTTTTCTTTCAGCCGTCTGTCATCAAATATTGGCGGAAACATTTGGAAAGCTGTGAATTTAGACTAAAATCATGTCGTTTCTCTGCAGTTATACAAACATTTTTCACGTAAGTTGCCATGGAAACCAACCCGCTTCACTGCAAAAACACAAAATCTTATAAAGTTTTTGAGTTTAGTTTTTAGTGCAAATATCTAGAACAGCTGAAATAAAACAAAACTCAAAAATAACTTTTCAGCAACTTTCAGTTAACTTCTTCATATTGATGAGAAAATATTAAGATTATTTCACTTATAATGACATTTTTCACATTTTAATTGAATTAATCTGCCAATGAAATAAATATTTTTTTCATCAATATTCAGGAAGTGTTGACTTAAAACAAGATTCTTTGCTGAAAAATTACTTATACGTCAGTTTTGTCTTATTTCATGTGTTTTAACAAATCTGTTCAAGAATCTAGACCAAAAATACTTGATAAGACGTTAAACTTGTGCTTTGGAAAGGAAAGCGACCTTCCCCTTAAATCATAAACCGAAATCTTTTGGTTCAGTTTGATCAGCATCACCTGGCCGTCAATAAACTAATTATGATGTTTTTAAATAAGAAACACAAAATCGCAGGTGAATAAGTTAGTTCACCTGATAAGCCATTAAAAACATGCAGTGCCTTCGTGCTCCTGCCACTTCCTGTCGTCTTCTTCAGCGTTTTCGCCAGTAGTAACGTTTGGTTACTGATCACATGAAAAAAGGCCACCATGTTGTTTTGCTTTACCGACTATAAAACAGACAGAAGTTTTAAAATGTGCTCGGCTTGTTTTTTATTCTGGTGGATAAACGGAGCAGTTCAGTGAAAACCTCCTCAGCTTTCTGTAAAAGTCACATTAAAACATCACCGCTGCTCTGCCAACCGGAAGCCAAAATCCTGAAGCTTTATTTGTTTACGATCTAAATGATATTCAAAAGGTTTCACTGGTTCACTTCCCTGTCAGAGACATTTCTGGGCTCCACAGAAAGTGAAATGGTGGTTTCCGTCTGCTTTCACTTCCTCCTGCAAAACGCAGCCGACAAAGACGGAACCGCAGAAACCAGAGAGAAAAGGAGACGCAACGTCTATCAGCAGATCCTCATGCTGGAATATTCCACATGAAATAAAACTAAACTGACTCACAAGTTACTTTACAGCAACATAAAGGAATGTAATTTCTTAATATTGATGAAAAAGTAATATTTATAAGTGAAATAATCTGCCAAGAGATTTTAACTAATGAGACAAAATGTCTCATTCCACTGGTAGATTATTTCTCTTTATAAATAGTATTTTTTCATTAATATTGAGGAATTATTGACTCAAACCAAGTTTCTATGTCTTGCTGAAAAGTTACTTGTAAGTTAGTTTTCTTTTTATTTTATGTTTACTAAGAAATTTGAAACTAAACAAAAATACTTCCAGCATTTAGGTCAGATAAAGTTTCACCAGAACAGAATAAAGGTCAGAACTTCAAACGGGAAGTGAAGGTTGATTTAGTGACAATAAACACATCAACAAGACAAAGTCAGTTACCATAAAATAGATTTAGTCTCAGAATTAAATTAGGATATAAAACATGGAGTCTGTCACTGTTAGACCTGTTATGATAAATTATGCCAGAAGTTATCAAATTAAATGATAATATTGTTGCTTTTAGACCATTTATATTGATAAAGGCACAATAATAAAGCAAGAATATATTCTCAAATGAACTTTAAAATCTAATGAAAATTTAACCGACTGGAAAACATTTTAAATATTCAGAAAGAATAAATAGAAATAAATAATATGAATTATTAAGTCTCTGTAAACAAAGTTATTCCTCAGAAAGACGTCGAGTTGAAACTGGAAACTTTTATCATCCAGTTTTTGGCCGAAAGAGAAAAATGATAAATTATGAAAATAAATATTACTGAGTTTGTTTTAGTTTATTATGTGATTAGTTGATTTATTGTTTATTGCAACAGGCCTAGTGATTGTGTTCACTTTCCAACAGAAGCTCACAGATTTTATTAACTGTAATTTAAATAAAATTTGATTTGACTGAATGAAAACAGAAAAACACATCTTTGGTGCTCCATACCATAAAAGAAGAAATCGTAAAAGTGAAAACGAATCGGCTTCGATGTTAAATCACAAATTAACAGATTAACCAGTTAATTTTATTTTATTATATTTAGATCTGATTTCATGAACCTCAGCAGCTTTATCAGCGTTGACCGCCTGCTGACGGCCTGAACGGCCACTTTATTAATCCTGATTAATCCAGGCCTGATTAATCCATAATCAGGCCTGGAAAGACGCCGCAGCTCATCTGACGCGTCGCCTAATGGACGCCTTCAGCTGAACGTGTGAAAAATGTCCAGAGAACCTGGAATCACAAGTTTCTGTCTGAACCGAATCAACGCTCAGCTCTCAACAGGTTTGATTCCAAACATTTTTCTTGGATCTGATTAGCAGCTAAATTTGGCCGCTAATCTAGAGGAGATGGAGCACAAAAAGAAAAGAATGTGTGTTTGGTGGATTACTTTTTGTAACAATGCTTCTTGGTAATAGATATTATATAAAATCTGTTTATTTTCCTTTAAATTGTGCCTCATTTGTTACAGAGTTAGCAGGTCTGCAGCAGAGCTGATCTTCTCTGCTAACGCCGTGCGACTGATTCTGCTTCGTACTTCAATATTCAGTTCAGTATTTGTGAATTTTTCTGTGGGACACGACTACAAATTATTTGTGATGATTTTTGTAAATATATCAGCTTTTTTGTAAATACAATGTGGCTTATATTGGCTGGCGTTTGCAAAGCAGCCAATCCAGGCGCTGATTGGCTGAAGCCCAAGATGCTAGCTTCTGCGTTAGCGCCAAGACGGTTTCACTGTGCGTATTAATGCATATTAGGACATATCTGGTTTTTAAAGTATTATAATAGGCAGTTATCGGCATTTTTAGAAGGAAATCTAAAGTATTTGAGCTTTGGTAGTTCTTCTTCTATGGTTATATTTTAGTGCCACTTCTGGTGGAGAAAATAGTTTATAATGGAGAGAAGAAAAGTAAAAAAAAATATCCAGATATTTGACCTACAGTCTCATCATGAGAACAATACCAAGGTATTACAATCGACTTTTCCAAAGGATATAAGCAGTGAATGCTAAGCTAACGTTTAGCATGGTGTCTTATGCTAGGCCTGAGCCACCACAGCATCACTCTGCCTCCACCAAAAGATGATTCCTGCAGTTTTCTGTGTATACATGTAAAATATTCTAACATCACCTCAGCAAACTCTGATAACTGTCATGCAAATCGATCCGGTGCTTTGGGTCCGGCGGGTCGCCACAACCTGCTGCTGGGACGCGTTCAGAGAGAGCTGAGTGTTTGTAGTATGCAAAGCATGCAGAGCAAACATCCTGAGCGGCTCGATTCTCTGCTGGAAACAGAGAATCATTGTTAACCCGAGGAAGACGTGAGTCTGGTTGAACCGGCGGCGCAGAAAGTCACGACTCCAAGTTCAACCACAAGTCAAGGTCTGAGCCGCCCCTGAACGCCTCATCTACCTTCACATTTTTACCTAAATCAACCTGTTCTTTCATCAAAACATCAGCAAAAACATCCAAACTGACACAGTTATGTTTCTACTTTATCCTCATTCAGTTGCATGAGGTCCAGCAGAAACTCCGGCTTTTCAGCTCCAGTCAACAAGAAACGGGTCAGACGAGTGAAACGCGTGTTGAGGCCTGAAATAGAAGATCTTTGTTTTTAAGTTATGACTAAAAGCAAACAGAGGAGCTCCGAGATTTATCAGAAAATACATTTAAACCAGAGCTGAACTGGGCAGACTGGGAGTGGCTCAGCGTACAGAAACAAAAAACTTTTAGGACAAATTTGTTCAAACTTCTCAGTGGGTTTTCTTTTTTACTACTAAATTAATGTAAGATTGCTATTTTTTCCATCAGCAATGTCATAAAACTACAAATAAAAGATATATAAAACTCATGAAATTATTTATTTTTGTTAATTCTGTGAAATTAAATCAACAAATTCAGATTTTGGTAATAAAATAAAATATGTAAAAATGTAAATGTAAAAACAGTCAGATTTGCTACTTTTAAGAAAAATCTACTTTCCATTTTTTAGAATTAATTTAAAAGAAGTAGGCCATATTTTGGTTATTTTAATGATATATTTTTGCCATCTTCAACGGATGCACACGTTCAAGTCTTTATTTTAGAAAATATCATTGAATGTTTTTGGTCTCATTTCCCATAAACTTAAAATAGAAACAAAATAAAACAAAATCAAACATTTTCCATCTAAAGAAAATGTGATTTTTCTTCTTTTTTTAACTGAATGCTTTAAGATTCCTGTTTATCTTTTTAATTTTCATTATTTTGTCATTAATTTTACTTTGTTGCATCATCCAGGCAGAAGCTCATCCAGTTTTTAAAAATTTACAGCGATTCCAGTTCCATCAAGTCTGAGAAATTTCGAGGTTTTTCACCAACATTGCTTCATTTTTATAAGAAAAAAATCTAAATAGACATTCAGTCACTTTTCTGCAAACATCTTGGAAAATTAGAAGTTAAATCATTTTTATTTTTGCAGATTGCATCATAAAATCAGATCCCATTTGTTTTTTACATCTGTCCAGGTTTAATTTTTCTTTCCAGCCTGGTGTCTTGCCGTCCTGCAGTTTGTCTGGTGACCAAAACTGTACTCAGTCCAACTAATACTCATATAAAGTATGCATGACCGTCCTGGGATCTTATTCTTGGATAAATATATAATGTGTTTTACTGCAGTTCCATTAGAATCAGATTTCATACGACGGACAGACCCAATAAGATGAAAAAAGAAGAGCAACAAAACATACCAGATTTTATAAAAAGACGTTAAATTACCAGATTCATTCAAATGATGACAAATATTCAAAACACAAGGTGAGATAACGTTAAATAATAATAATACAAAATCAAAGTGGAAAACTATCAATTATTCTTGTATTTATTCTGATTATTCTTATTCAGATCTTTTTTTACTAATTTTTAGGAGAAATTTCCAGATTTTATTTCACTGATTTGAATGTGACATCATGTGACCTCAGTGTCACATGACCTGTGTGTGTTGGGAACCACAGCAGTGCAACACAGGCTGTAGAAAGTATCAACCAGAACCAGAACCAGAACCAGGTGAACTTTCACCTCAACACGCCGCGCTCATTAACGATGTGGACCTCAAGTCCGAACCTGGCGGAGACAACAATAAATCAAAATTCTTTAAAATTTATCACAGTAAATGATAAACGATATGATAAATGATCACCTCTAAACAGAAGCAGAGTTACGTTTTATTCAAGTAAGAGTTTAAATACGTCACAATAAAATTACTCAAGTAAAAAGCACCGCGTAGTACAGATACGCCTAAAAGTGTATTTTTTTCAAAAAAGTAAATATAACTACCATACTCTGCCCCAGTCAGGGTCAGAGAACAGCAGGAGCTTTCAGTTTTTACAGAGTATGTAAACATCTGGACTCAAACGTCTCTAAATGCGTCTGCAGGTTGGATTCCTGAACTCTGCAAATATTCCCTTTGGCTCCAAACGTCTGGAGGCTACGGCTCCAAACATCCGTCCCACCTAAACCTTCTGCTCCAAGATAATCTTCATCTGAGCTTCAATCCAGATTAAAGCAGAAACACCTCGACTCTCCAGCATCTGAAGCCACTGATGCTGCGGTTGGTGCCGTTGCCTCCGGGCCACTGAGCACTCTCTGTAATTGGGTACATGGTGGACTATTACCCCCCTCACACACACCGTCACTCACCAGGCTAACCAAACACACACACACCGCTAATCTGCCAAAACTAACGTTGAGACGAACCAAGAGCCTTCAGGAACCAGAGACAGGAAGCTGGAAGGAAAACCTGAGCAGATTGAGCTGCAGCTGTGGCTGAATTATGAGGGAGGAGACGTTTCTCTGAAGCATAATTACTGCTGCTGACATTTCACCAGAACTCCAGCTGACTCATTTCTATCAGAACCGAAGAATTAAAGTTTAATCACCTCCATAAAAACACAGATGAGAAAAACTGCAGACAGATTTTGAGATCTGCAAAATCAGTTTTATCTGTAGTTGGTTGTTTGGTTTCCATGTTGATGATTATTTGCATGATGGACGAACCTGCTCACATTTATTTTTAAATATGTTAGAAATTTACCTGGCTGACATTTTACTTATTCACATATAACAAACTAGACTGAATGACAGCATGTTTTTAATTCATCTTAGTGAAACTAAAAACCCTTTGAGTGAATCAGGATGTTTGCACAGGAATCAAAACGTTTCAGAAACAAAGAAGGAGATGTTTTTTCTGCAGGCCTGAACAATCCCGCCTCAGCAGAGATTAATCCTCAATCAGCCCGTTTTAGGAAACTTTATGAAAAACAAACCGAGAGAAAACAGAACCGTCAGATCCAAACACAACACTGACCTGAACCCGCACACCCTGAGGGACGCCGAGCATCTTCACAGGGATAAAACGTCCTCTGGTCACCTGCTCAGGTCTGCAGCTTCACCTTTAACCTCTGCACACACCGACACACACACCGCTACACACACACCGACACACACACCGCTACACACACACCGCCACCCAGCCCCTCCAGCTGCCGGTCACAAGGCTGAGAGCCGCAGCTGAAACTGCAGCAGAGACGCTCACACCGGACAGCAGGACTCCAGGGGGCGGGGCTTACTGACCAACCGGCTGTGATTGGCTAGAGGAGCCAGACATCAGCCAATGAGAGGAGAGGGAGGAGCTTTCAGCGTTAAAGCTGCAGAAACATTCAGAGAATCTGATTTTAAATCCGTTTAAATATTTACACATTAAAAAAAGAGTCGCAATATACAAACTATTAAACCCAAGATAAATTAATAATTCTGATTATTAATATTTTTAAAGGGCAATAATTCATTTTTATTTACGATAGGGATGGACAATAAATCAATAACATATCACAACGGTGATCAATTTCAATAGATATCACATCTAATAGAATATTCAATATATAGAATATGAACTGAACCGCACAGCATTCTGGGAGATGTAGGCGTCCACAGTCCACGTTCCTACAGAAATGCCACGTTGAGTTAAAATGTTTATTTATTCAATAATCTGGCAGCAAAAAGATTTTTAGTTTTTGATTCAAATCTGATTCCTTCACCAGAGTCAGGTGGTTGTTCAATAATTGAATCATTTTTTCCCGTTGAGTATTAATTACTCAATCATTTCATAATCACAATAAAATACTTTAACATTTTTTAATTCTGCATGTAAAAATTAACCAAAGTATTGGTTAATTAGTAGTTAGAGTGTTAAATCTTGACTATTTAAGTTATAAATGTATTTAAGTTACAAAAACCATCAAACACACTCTAAAAACTAATTAAAACCAACTAATTAGACAAAAAGTCACAATAAAACTAAACTACAATGAAAAACCCAAAAATGCCAAATGCATTTGGCATTTTGGTCATTTCTATAAATGACCAAAATGGAAACTAAAAATAATTTCAGAGTCGTTTCAGAAGTATAACCAGTGAATCGTTTTATTGTGTGAGCTTTACCTCCAGAGACCGGCTCTGCCCCACCACACCCAGCCAGACACGCCTACCATAACCTGCTGAGCCCTGAGATCCGCTTCTGCTGCCAACATATTCAGACAAGAAGTCAGAACATGTTTCCTTCATGCAATCCGTCATAAACGTCACGGCGGTTATTGAGTCGACTGGTCGAGTAAAACGAGTTTCAATGGTCTGGCTTCAAAATGTGTTGATTCTTGTGGTTTTAAAAAACAAATATCTGAACAATGGGGAAACATTTTTGTATTTTTAGATGTTTTAGTTGATTAGTTTGTCGGCTGCTGTTAAACGTTCATTAAAACATCGATGTTAAGGTCTGAGTTTCCTGATCTTTGACCAAAGAGTTTCACCCAAACATGCAAACAGAAACTCACACCGACATGCTAAACAAGCTCTGCATCGGTGGCAACGCGACTCGACATGGAGGGAAACTTTGCAGCTTTCAGCTTCTATCCACCACAAATCTGGAACAAACCTCCAGAAAACTGAAAAACAGCCGAAACACTGAGTTCCTTTGAATCGAGGCTAAAACGCGAATGTTTAGAGTTTAGTTTGGACCATAAGAAAAGAAACATTGACCAACATATTTGATGTGTATCGATGATTTTGATGATGTAATGTTCGTCTCTGGTTCCTCATTGACTGCATGTTTTTATTTTTGTTTTTATGATTTAAAGCAATTTGAACGGCCTTGTTGATTAAATCTGCTACATACATAAACTGGGTTTACTGGGTTTGTTGGGTTTACTGGGTTTGCTGGGTTTACTGGGTTTGCTGGGTTTGCTGGGTTTGCTGGGTTTACTGGGTTTGTTGGGTTTGTTGGGTCTGCTGGGTCTGCTGGGTCTACTGGGTTTGCTGGGTTTGCTGGGTTTACTGCGCTGCGTTGCTGTAGGTGAGTCACTTCACACAGAAATACCATTAACATTATGTTCCCATGTGATGGGTGAGCTTCTATCATGTGTCATTCTATAATTACTATTATTTGAGATGACCAACAATTTGAACATTTTGTCTAGATTAGTCACATTAAAACCTGTCATATATATTTTTGTTTAGTTTTATATATATATATATATATATATATATATATATATATATATACACACACACATATATATACATACACACACACTTTAAATGTAATGTATCAAAACCATAGAAAACACTGATTAGGTATATTTGGTTGTTTTATACATCAAGCTAATTTCTCAGTCCAAACACTTGACACTAAAATAAATGTTTCTTTAAGTGTTTACACATTGCCCTGGGTTTTAGCTGTTCTCCAGTCTGGATAAACAGTGAGTTTGTAAACTGGTTGGACTTGTTGGATCTTCTGGAAACTGGAGGGTTGAGCGTTTGCGAGACTCATTGCTGACATTCCAGAGGAGGACCGAAGCATTCGGACTCCCACCCACACTCCAGCAACCGCGGCTAGCACACAGTTTGTGTCTTTATCTGGACGAGGAGGCCACAAAAACTCAACGCAAAGCAACAAAATGAACATTTTCTGACCAAGAAACTGAAGTTTAACCTTCCCAAAGCAGCAAGGAGACACAGAAACAACAACTTTTAATATTTACAAGGCCAAAAAGAAGGTAAAGAAATGTGCAAAATGTTAGGGTGTGGTAGCTGCTAAGCTAACTCCCATTTATAAAATATTATTAATAAGAAAAATGAATGGAAGAATAATGAAGGCCAAAAGTCAAATATTATCATGGTCACATGGTTCTTACAGACAAAGAATGTTGTTATTTTCCTTATTTGGAAATCAGTCAGTGAAAAAGGTTCTGTGATATTTCTGTAACCTTTGTTTGCATATTTGGATTTATCCATTTCATGTCGGTGTTTCTACCAAATTAAACAAGAAACAAAAGTACCACTTCATACATAGATCAAGCAAACACTTTAAATATAAACATGTTTTGGCTTCCAAAAAAATATATTCTTAAGAAAAATAATCTAAGCTAATCCAAAATTGTTATTTAAAATTGTTCAAAATGTCTTTCCAAAAATTTTCCAGTTAGAATTGAGTGCTAAAGTTGGATTTGGATTTTTATTTTTACCATTTCAGACTAAAACAAACAAAGTAGTAGCTGTGTAATGAGCAGGACGCAGGTGAGTCACCAGGTAGGAACAGCAGCCAAACACAGGAATGTGTTAGCATGTGGATGAGCGTGTTCCAGAGGAAAAATGTCTTTCCATTATACTGAGAACATAATGGAGCGATTTCTGTTGAGCAGGGTTTAGTTTAACTTTTAATTTCTTTTAGCTAATCTAGTTATATTAGTTGATAATTATTGTATGAATTACATCAATTTTAACTAAAATAATCAGATTTTAATAGATAACTGCCAAGTTTTTAATACGTCTAAATGTTTATTTTACACATTTGGAGGATCTTATGCTTAGTAAATATAATTTTGTTTTTATTTGTAGTTGATGTAGAGTTTTTACCCAACATATACAGATAAACACTGTAAAAAGCTGTAGCTGCACAGACCTGCAGAAGTTACAGAATCATAAAAAAGTCACTGCACTGTGTAATATGTCTTACTGCTGTGCAAATATGTGGTTGGTGTAATATTATCAAAGCACAAACTCCAAAGATACAGGAACCTCTTTAAAGTATTACTGACAACAAATTAACACTTAAAATAAATAATTTTTAATCAAATAAAACCGTATCTCACATGTGTGCTAAGGCTAATGAGCTTCCCTGACTCATTATGCAGAGATAAAATCATTAAAACCTTTCAACACGTTTACGAACCCAGACACTTAGTCAGGAAAAATATTTATCTGGAAGCTGAAAAACCCTGAAACGCTTCCTGGCCTTTTCCCGTTTTCTTTAATCAACGAAGGAAACTCGTGTTTTCAGGTTGGGTGAAACAATGAGCCCGTCCGTAACTTAGGCTGAGCAAAATGACATCATGTTTTTATCATGGTCTGCTGAGTTTATTCTGCTTTCTGCCGGAAATCTGCTTCATTGTGACTCAGAGAAAAACACAGAAATACAAAACGGGTTTCCAGCAAAAACAGTTTCCTCAAAGAAAGTTACCAGAAGGCAGAAAACACAAAGTTATTGCTTCATACCAGACAAGAAGGCGGAAACTGCGGCGCTGCAGCGCCCCCTGGTGGAGAGCTGGGGCAGCTGCATGTGTGTTTGTGGTGTGATTCTGCAGAGAAGCTGGTCAAATTCACGCGGTTTTAGTTTGTGGTTTCAGTGAACAGGAAGCTGCAAATTTCAACAAACTTACAAACATGTTTAAGCAGCTGCAGAAATACTCACACTGGTTTCTGCGTAGAAAGATTTACTGCTAGGCTCAAATACATTCACACACCGGGAAGGTTCAGTAAAAATATATTCATATTTTCATTATTGCAAATATCTTCTAGGCTTTTGCTTTTCACCTCCTTAAAACTGCAGATCAGCGTTTTACTTTTTGTTTCCACTGCTTGCAATCATCAATCTATGAGATTGGATGAGCTCTGAGCAATCACCCTAATCTTTAGATCTTCTTTATAGGTCAGATTCAAGTCTAAAGCAACTGATTAAATCAGCCTTACTCAACATTTAGATCTGCCGGGGGAAGGAACCATTTTGAGACAGATTTTATATGTTTACAGGCGAATGAATGCAGAAGCAAACAACCAAATCCAAGAGGATGAAATGCAGCAACCAAGGATTTAAAAATGTTTTGATTTTTAAAAAAGTCAGCACAAAAGTTAATGGAAGAATAATTTCATTTTTGCATTCATGTGATTTGTAATCCACGAATCGGTTTGTTTCATTAAATGATAGAAAATCTTTAAGGTATTGATCAGATGTTGACATTTTGAGCTAATTTGCTTGAATTAACATCCCTTTGATTTATCATATTAAAGCTTTAACGTTAAGAAATAATTCAGCAAATTGTGTTTTCAATAAATCAAACCCTAATCTTATTTATTCCACCTAAATTTGTATGATTTTAATCTTCTTGCTTCATTTAGCAAAGAAAAACTACAATAAATCTGTATTTTTCTAGTTAACTGAATTTAAAGATGTGGAG